ACCCAACTAATGTTGACATCTTCTCTACTTGATAGCAGGGCCTGAAACTTATCTCAGGGGGTTAGCTGATGCATTTCTGCAGACTGACCACCAGATGGCGCGCTTTCCTTTCTTTTCAAGGCTATCCAGCCCCTGACCCAGAGCCTTCAGAAATCTGAAAATCTACTTTGCAAAAAGGCTTTGGTGACACTGCTTCATCCAACCACCCATGCCATAATACAAAGAACCCAACATTATCCTAGTCTCTATAAAGAAGAGGATCCTCAAACACCATCCCGTCTTAAGTATGTTCACTAAACAGATGGGAATTCAGGGACAAGAAGGGATGGGAATAGGGGGGATAGTACACCAGTAATACATCCCAAAGCCCACACTTTCCCCTCCACATTCAGGATGACACCTTCATATGGCAGTAGGGCTGAGCACTGGACAAGCCTTTAGATGCCTCTCCTTCTTAAATTCTAGGCAGATCAGTTCTTAGCCAGAGAGGCTGGGGGTGGAACTCTATTAATATCCCTTATTCACTGCAATGCCCCAAATATCTTGAGAACCAGATTTCCTTTCCCACGTGAAGACAGCCTACCATAGTTCTTTCCTAAATCCTTGACAGTTTTACAAGCAGGGTGGTGAGTGGTCTTTCTTTCTTTGAAAAAGTGTATATAAATGTACCTATTCATAGAAATCTGACAGAGCTGACACCTGGTTCTCCAAAAATGTAGCTTCACTCTAACCACATTCCACTGACATTTATAGAATATGATTATTTTTGATAGTGGGGAACAAAGGGGGAAGGGTAATCAGAATTGTAAAGCACACACTTTCATCCAAAGTTTCCCCACTGCAAAGTGAATCGTTATTTTCAGGATAAACGTGCAGTACCCAAATGTAGAATATTTCTTCTCTTCCCTTTTCCTGGGAAGAGATGCTTTGCCTCTCCCTAGTGGACCTCACACCTGCTTCTCCATGCTCTTTACTTCACTAGACATTCCCCTTCTCCCAGACCTGCTGACGTGCACGTCCAGACAGCCACGCAAAGCTACTGGTTCTCTGAGAAGTGACAAAGTGCTTTTTGAACAGTACACAGGCCTGCTCTCTTAAGTGTTGGGGAAAGGCCATCAAATTCTGGGCAGGATGCAATTCAAGTCAAATTTGACATGTTGAAAGTTAATGACTTTATTGTGCTTCATGGTTTATATAATTCAGTCATAAGCCAGGGCAGGTTGGGCACATTTTTTTTCAGACAGTTAAGAATTAGGAGGACTTGAGGCTGTCAGCTTTACCAGATGGTCATTAACTGGAAACATGCTACTTAAGCAAGGTACACTCAAGGGGGGAAAGGCTCAGAGAGTTTCATTCGCCATGAACCTCTACCTCTTCATACCTACCTCTCAGGCAGGGGTGAGCGTCGCAGAGAAGGAAGGTGTGCTGAGAGAAAAAGGTTGTCTTACCTCTTTCCTAGCTGCCCTCGGCAAGATGAGGTGGCAACGTGCACACTGTGAGGATTCGACTTACAACATCAGAGATAAAGTAACTGTGCCAACAGCACAGAAATTCATTTCCACGTGCTATACTCTTCACAACATGCTATGAACTTGAGACCAAAAAGGTGAGAAGAAACTGGGCACAGAATTTCACTGGGGCAAAGTTGAAAGAGTGGGGATTAAGCAGGGATTAAAAAAAACAGTGGAGAGATGGTGAAGGGGGGCAGGCAGGAAGGCAGACCGCAGAGGTCTGAGAGTAGCGAGGGAGTTTCTGAAAATTAACTAAATGCATTTTATCTACTTCCACTGACCATAAGTGGTTTCATTTTCATTGTAACATGTTCAAGGGATTCTGTCCAGGCCCTGAGATTCCCTCAGAGTTGTTGGGAATCTCAACACTTGTGTTTAATGACATACCAGGGAACCCAGGGTACAAGACAGGTAAGATAAATGGACTAATGGAAGGATTGCATCTTATAACCACCTGTTTATGAGCAAAACCCAGTCATAAAAGCAGCTGTAAGCAGAAAACACAGAAACATTATTTTGTCCTTTTGACATACATTATAGTCTTTAAACCCCATAAGAGAAGCAAAGATTGTAAAGAACTGATTGTAATTGTCATAATTAACCGCATGCACTTCTCCACTACATCGTACAGCTTTGCAACTGGTAGACCCGATCAGGTATAAAAGAAAACAGAGCTTTTGAAATCTCAGGAGATGGGAGGAAATGACCCTTATCCAATCCCTCTCATTCTAAATTACTATTGGTAGAGGCAAGATAATTCCCCAGCCATTTCAAATACGGAAAACATTCATAGAGAGGACACAACTGGCGTCTAAAGTCATATTTCGCCATTTTGGATGTGATTTGGAATGGGGGTTGGAAAAGAATGGAAACGATGATCAGATAAGATGTGTATGAACACTGAAGCAGATGTTCTTGTAGTCATTTCTTGGAAGACGTGAAATGGTTGTATGAAAAAAAAAGCAGTCGTGTCTTAAAGAAATAAACTCACCTGGAAACTCTGAAGACCTCTAAAGGGTTGGTTGAGTAAAAGCAAAAATCTCAGTCTCTTACACCCAAACACACACACACACACATATAACATGCTCATACGCTTCTGGAAAGTTTGGACTTAATATCTTCATTACTTTTAAAAAAAATAACTCAAAGTAATCCAAAAAAACCAAGATATGAAATAATAATAAATTCTTCCTTTAGATTGGAGAAAGGAGATAGACAGGATAGTGATAGGATTCACCTATAGAGTGTGAGATTTTAATTTAGGAGCTAATATTCAGAAGAATGTAAGTTCATGGGATTTTAGAGCTGGAAGACACCTGGCCCATTATGTTGCCTCCTGCCTATTCCAATTGTCACATCAACTTTACTATAGTTCACAGAATGAAATATTATGCATATTCAAGGTCAACATTCTTTCCATAAGCAAGAAGGAGCAGATGCCAAGGGGGCCAAAGTGTATGAGCAAGATAAAGAAAGAATGAGACCAGAAGTTACTGAAAAGGGGTGACTGCAGAAATTAAAATTACTAAAAATAAGAATTTGCAGAGGAACACATTGAGGTTAAATTTTGAAAAACGCCTTGACTTTAATTATGCTATACCTATCTGTGAATGTTGGCTAAATTTCTTCAGTTGTCTCCTAATTCAGAGAGACAGAGCTATTCCAAATCACAAACAACTCAATAAAATCAATGCCATGTATTACCACAAAACTCAGATATTATATTTTAGTCATATTTTTTGATGAGTGTTTTTACTTGTAGATGTAGAAATTACAGTTCGACTAAGAAAGAGCCTGGAATATGAATCTGTAAGTACATAACTCAAATAAGAATTCTGTAAAATGTGGATGATAACTTCTATACTGCCCTTATAGTTTCCTTCAGCCAAAGATTGTTTCAACGGATTTTTTTTTGGCAGGCCTGTGACAGCAAGACATCACTGGTTGGTTACTCCAACTATCACTCATTATTATTTAAAGAATTTGACATCACATAGTAATATGTTATCAAATATGCTAGTGGCTAGGAAGCAGCAGAAAGCAGACAGAAAGGAATTATTACTAAATGAGGCACAGCCAACATATAATGGTATCTGAATATAAAACCATTTTTTGGCTGTTCTATGCATAATGGTGAACTAAATATAAAACCATTTTGTGGTTGCTCAATAATATTTTTTCAACCAAGTCATAAAACTTTAACAAATTCTGACCAAATATAAGTCAACCTTCCCTTTTCTTTTCTTTAAGTGTCTAGCCAGTTTATACACCACACTGGTAGTAGAATCAGGGCTGGTTCTCTTTCCACTGAATCAGGTACCTGCCTCTTTTAATATGATAATCTTCTAGGTGTGATAATAATCTTCTAGAAGCAGATTTCAACTTGATATCAGAAAATTACTCACAGAATTCATTCAAAACGTTAGAGGCTTCCTTAGAGGTAGTGAAGTCCCCAGGACTGGAGATGGGGCTGGGAAAGGCAGTGGGACATGGGTGGAAGGGCACAGGGACCATGGAGCTAATGAGGCTTGACAGTCAGGGCTCTGCACTTGCATGGCTCCTTCTTAAGATCTTAGGAGGGGCCCCAACAATGTATTAACATGGTGATATGTTTTTGTAATACTTGCAAAAATATTTTAAAGTTCTTTTTCTTAAGGAGGGTCCCCCAGAATTATATAAGTTTCAGGCCTAGATCCACTCCTAGGTAGCACACAGTTTTGCAGAGCACTAGGCAAGGTGACCAGAGAACCTGGGTTCCAGTCATGGTACCGCTTTGGCCCAAATGGGCAGAACGGCACTTGCTCTGCTTCCCTCACAGGGGGTAAAATCACAAATGTTAAATGGGCTGAAAAACATAAAATGTGAAAAAATATAAGTAACATAACTTAGATTTCCTGTCTGTGATATGGGATAATCATCACTGTTTCTCAGGTTATTGAAGATAACACATCAAAACATGTGTCCTCAGGGCATTTTCCTGTCTCATTTCCCTCTGCTACAGCTTCCTCTTTTCCTTCCTCTAGCCCCTAGCCCCCAACACTCCTGCCACTAGAACACTCATCTGTCATTATATGTTGCCACTTGTATATATATACATATATGTGTGTGTGTGTGTGTGTGTGTGTGTGTGTGTGTGTGTGTGTGTGTGTATATATATATATATATATATACATATACTTTTTTTTTTTTTTTTGGCCACACTGAACGGCTTGTGGGATTTCAGTTCTCCGACCAGGGACTGAACCCAGGCCCTTGGCAGTGAGAGCACGGAGTCCTAACCACTGCACCACCAGGGAACTCCTGCCACTTTTATATATTTGTTCAAAGGGCTCCTACTGTCTATAAAGTCTATCTTTGCTGGAAAAAATCCTTATCCACAAGGCCTAGGTCTGCTAGATCCTCTCCTCCTTCCCCAATGATGACTCCCCTTAGTACTGTTTCTTGTTGATCTTACAGATTAGAACACTGAGGCCTAACGTAACACATAGCTGAGTTCTGGAGGCCCCACAAGATAATCCTCAGGAGTCTTGATCTTCTGCCATCCCTGGCCTCTTAGCATTAGAGCACAGACACACGGTTCTTGATGTATACATGATAGGGGTCACTGCGCTTATCCACTTTGCGGGAGCGGGTGTATCCCAGGATGAGGCTGCCCACAGTGGCAGCAAATAGGAACATGACGAAGAGAATGTACATGTAGGAGTTGTCATCATGGCCAGGTAGGCTGGCCCGCCTCTCCTCAGTCAGGTTGTCTGACCCTGGCCGGCAGAGCAAGTTGCTGTGAAGAGTGGCATTTAGAGCCTTCAGCACAGCGTGCAGGCTCTCATACCAGGTCTCAGTCCCATTGGTGGTCTCCATAGCAACAGGGATTCAGGTGGGGGAAGAATCGGAGGATGCCCTCCTTCAGAAGCCTTCCTTGTTTCTCGCCCTCTCTGATCAGCCCTGCAATCTCTCTCCATTTAGGGGTACCATTCTGTAGTCCTGCTGCCGGTCGGCAAGGCTCCCGGGGCGCCGTCTGTTCGTTGGACACCTTGCCCTGGGCTCGCGAGTGCCCCGCACTGTGCCCCAAGGCGCTCCGCCAGCCCCCCTGCTCGCAGCCCGCGGCCAGCACCGTCTGCGCCCCCTCCGCCCTGCCACCTTTTTCTTTAAAGTAAAACAGTTTAAAATCTGTTCTACCCTCTGAGTACCTGGAACTAAGGCAACTAATTATGTTGAGAACTAAGTTAGGGAACATCACATACATTCTCTCTTCTGTTTCTCATTAAAACTCTGTAAACCGGGCATTGATATCTCATTTTATAGATGAGAAAACTGAATTTCAGAAAGATGTGATAACTTGCCTAATTGTGGATAGTTAGTCAAACAAGGACTTGAACCCAGGTATGGCAGATTGAATGGCAGCCCCATGAAAGGATATGTCCATGTCTTAATCCCCACAACCTGTGATTATTACCTTAAATGGCAAAAGAGTGAATGTTACTGCATACAACAAAAGATGTGATTAAGTTAGGCATCTTAAGTGGAGGAGCTTATCCTGTATTGGCCAGGTGGGTTCTAAATGCAAGCACAAGTATCATCATAAGTTAGACACAAAGAGGAGCAGACACACACAGCAGAGAAGGCCATAAGAAGATGGAGGCAGAGATTGGAGTGATGCAGCCACAAGCCCAGGGACGCCGACAGCCATAAACACTGGGAGACACAAGAATGGGCACCCTCCTAGAGCCTCTAGAGGGGGCCTCAGTGACCTCCAAGAAGCATACTGACTTCAGACTTCCGGCCCCCAGAAGTGTGAGAGAAAAAATACGTATATAGTTGTACGCCAACTAGTTTGTGGTAATTTTCATGGAAAACTGATACAGGAAACTGATACAGGAGGTCTTCTGGCATCCTTCTGCAACCCCATACAAGTTCCCTGATGTGAGACTGCCAGGCTGAAGACCTCAAAACATGGTACTCTAGACTCTCCCTAGGTCCGTACAGACTTGGGATCAACCATAACAGACTTAAAACAGACTTATAGTTCTTCAGACTATATATGAATTAGTGTTCTTCATATTTGATTCAAAATGTTCCCATTAGTACAAAGAAAACATACAGGAGCACGAGTTCATGGTTTCATGTGAGTGTCTTTCCTGCGGTGAATGGGACTGTCCAAGAAGGAGAACAAAATGAAATCCTCCTTCACTTAACTGTTCTCAGTGAGACAACTTTGACACTGCAGCTTCTAGGTGCTTAGTATTAAATGTGTAGAAACGAGGGTAGATCTGGTCTAAAAGATTTTAACATTCTTTTCTGCCTCTAAGCATATCTATAATTATTCTCAATAAATACTTGTTGAATGGATAAAGGAATCAATGAATGAGTATGTGGCTATATGCATGGAGCCCAAATACTCAAGCCCATCGTGTCTCAATAACTAATATTTAAGCCAGAAAGAATGAATGTCTTACACAAATATCACGCTCTGGGGAAATAACCTGAACAGATTATAAATGATTGGATTAAAAGGAGTAATTCACTAACTAACTCTATGGCAATAATACAATTAAACTCCCTGTGATGAATTCCTATAGAAAGGACATGAAATTTTAGGTATAAGGCAGTGTAAGAAAGAACCTGAAAAGTGAAATCTGAAGGACAATTTTGACTCCCAAGACAAAGGGCAAAGAGATCATTATTGTACTTTCTCTGTGTCAGGTAATATTCCAAGTTCTTTGTAGCATGAAACTATTTAATACTCACTACACGAGTCTAAGAGGTAGGCACACCATTATCCCCACTTTATAGGTGAGAGAACAGGTTACAAAATTTATCAAAATCATACAGGCAGTAAACAATGGAATAATTAAGAGCAGAGTGGCTATCTGTCCAAACATTGGTGAAGGAGATAACCAGGGAAGAGCAGTTGAAGAAGAACCTGAACATGAAATCTACCAGTTCATTGATTCTTTCTTTCATTTTTAAGATATATGTGCCAGGCATTTTGCTAGACACTGGAGATATAATGGAAAAGAAAATAATGAACTAATAAAATGTTCTAAAACAAAAGGGAGAGACTTAATTCACAAATAGGAGAAAACTAAAACAGAATTGAAAACAAGTGATTTTGGGGAACATGCTTGTAAGTGAATTTTAAAAAAGTGACTACGTTTTCTAAGAATTCTTCAACTACGAGCCTTCCCTAACAGTGTCTTGGTGATCACAGGATGTTCTAAGCCCTAGTAATGCTAGATGCTAGAAAAACGTGAAAGTGCCTGGGAAGCCAATTCTCAAGGAACTCGTGTGAGGGAAAAATTATCTTACCAACCATAAAAACAGGAAGCTAAGCAGAACAGGGCTGAGAAGAGTTTACAAAAAGAAAAATAATCCATTTGGTTCTAAAGACCAACAAAGCCAGAGGTGATTTTTAGCAAAGCAGAGGCATGTTTTAGCAATTCTAAGTAACTAGGTCAGAAATCACTTTACTCTGTTCCTTCCAGCACTATGCACAGGAAGTCAAGAGACTTCACTTACATGATAGGAATCTTGGAGAAACACTCAGACTCTCAAATTAGGAGGAAGTAGGTTTGAATCACAGCTCTGTTAAATACTAGCTGTGTAACCTTAGGCAAGTTACTTAAAGACTCCCAGTTTTAATTTTATCGTGTGGAAAACAGAGATAATAATACAACCCACCTGAGAGGCTGGTAAAGAATTAGATGTAATTAGATGTATGTGAATTGTTCAAGGAAGACGCTGGTACATAGGAAGTGTTCCATTACTGATAAGTAGTCGTGTTACTATCATTTGACAGGCTGATTGATCAATTACTGTGGCTAGAGTAATTATTAAATTTGACCAGAAGTTTCTCATTGTTCATCAACATTCTGGTTTTCCTCCTAAAGGAGGACTGTACTTTCTTGCTGCCTTGGAGCTACATATCACCACGTGATTTGCCTGAGCTAACGGAATGTATGTGGAAGTAAAGTGTCACTTCTGGGCAGAAACACTTCAATGCCAGGCACAACAGCCCTTATGTCCTCCCTTTTTCCAGGGGAACCAGCAACATGCCCGACGGTGAAGGGCCCGTCAGTCTAGCTCCCTGAAGAGTGATGACACAAAGCAGAGCCCCCGGCATTCTGTGATGAATATGAAGTATGGACTGAGAAATGAGCTCCATGTGTTAAGCTACTAGGTGTGGAGTTTGTTACCACAGCACAAGCCACCCTGCCCTGACTAACAGAATAGCAACCCAGATTGGTTGTGACCGTCGATGGATAAGTAATATAAATACCTGAAGTCCATTTATCTATTGACCCAGTCTTTTGCAATCTCTTGTTTTGGTTCTTGTTACCTTTATGCCCTTTTCAAATATTTATAAATCAAGGCTGTCTCCATAGCTTGAAATTTTCCCAGGACAAAGGCTATGACTTCGTAATTTTCTTTATAGCAGCAAATACGAAACAGGATTTACCATTTAATAAATGCCTCTTTGACAACGGCAATGACAGTCATGATCATAAAGCTATCTTCATGATAATCCCTTAATGTCCATTCTGACTTTCTCTCTACTTAATAGCTCTCTTAGAAGAAAGCTATGTATTTTTAAAACAACTGTCACCGAAGAAGTTATGTAGGTAGGCATGTTGCTCTCTGTTTTAAACCTATTCTGGGAATAGGAAAACGAAACTGTAAAGCTGATATTCCCAAGCCTTGCATTAATGTTCCAGAACAAGAAACAAAAACTCGAATGTGTTCATGTTCTATAAAAGAAGCATAAAAAACAATTAGTCTTTGTACAAGTTTCCCTTATCGGAGCACTGATGCGTAAAAACACTTAGAGACTATTTGCATGTCTCAGAGAAGCAGAAGCTGGCTGAGGAGTGTCTGTGTGTGCAGAGTGGGGGGTGCTCTCTTCATTCCTGCAGAATCCTCAACGTCACAAGACATGAGATCCTGCTTGCTTCATCTGGGCGAATCAGTGGCCAGAGTGGCAAGGCTGGTCAGCCTGCCTTGGACAGGTTAAAGGGGCAAGGAGAGGTGGGCAGGGAGGGCAGTGGGCATCAGGGTGGGTGCGACAATGAGCGCAGCCCACAGAGAAGACACGTTTCACCTGCACCCCCTTGCTTACTCCAAGAATGGTCTGCAGAGCCGGCGTACAGCCCACGGTCGGGTCTACGCTCACTGCCTGTCAGCACTTCCTTCACTCCAGATGAGGCTATGGATGAGTGAGAGGCTCAGGTGACCAGCACAAACAGATGAGAAGCAGGAAAAGGTTGAGGAGAAGCCTGCAGACTTGGCTTCATCAAGGTGAAAGGTGAAAGGACGGGAGCTCAGCTGCAAAATGCTTACCACAACCAACCAGGGCCCACAGGCTCTGACCTCCCCTCCTCTCCAGCCTTGCCTGCTGCCGCTCTCCCCATACCTCACTTGGCCTCAGCCACATTCACTTTGTGTTCTTTGAAGGGCCTCTTCAGGCCCCCTCACTCAGCTGGCTAAACCCGGCTCACTGTTCTAAGATCTGCTCAAATGTCACCTGCTCAGGAAACCCTCCTTGACACACCACAGCCAGCCCGGAATAGGACAGGCCTTCTGGCCGTACACCTTTACACACTGAAATTCCCCTTCATGGCACTTAGGAAGAGAAGATCTTCACTGTGCACCAGGATGTTTGTTTAGTGTCTGTCTCTACACTAGCTAGTAAGCTACATGAAGGAAGAGCGATGTCTATCTGCTCGCCATTGAATCTCTAGCACCAGCTACTCTCCCGGACACACACAGTGCTCACCAAACAGCCGTTAAATGAAGGGAGCTAGTGGAAGGTATGGAGTACGGCACACCCATGAGCTTCGTATCTTTCGGCGTAACCCACGTCCTGCTTCTCTGAGGCCTTGGCCAGCCTGGATCTGGCAGCCTGTCCTTGGACAACTGCTGGCCAGA